CCGCATGCAGTGTCGGTTCGGTGTTGGTTGCAATGGTTTCGTGACACACGTTAGATGTTGTGTTGGTTTCACCTGTCCTGTGACCCCACAAGCTATGAGGCTGAAGTCAAACGAATGCACTGCAGATTGCAGGGACGTGCCACCGACGGCCCGCGGTGTGGCGTTGACCTGCCCGTGAGCACCGGGGCGTACGCGGACACTCGGTGAACAACTCGGTGGACTGTTCATCGCGAACAGGCTACGACGTGGCCACGTTCACAAACGCGGGAGACCGCGAGGAGCCGGGGACATTCCCTATGTGGCCCGCGCTCAAAAAACGGTTGCAAGCTGCTTGGTGCAGTATCCGGGTAAAAGCGGGGGCTCCATTTCTCATTGAATGTTCTCCGGGTCGCTGGTAGACTACAGCCGGCATGTGACGAGTAGTCACAGCGAGAGGTGTCACGTGCCGGATGGGATTTTCTTTTTGGACAGACCAAGCTGAAATGAAGGTAGAAATGTATTCCTGTATGAGATTCACTCGGGTTATCAGTTATCCTGGGTTTTCGAAGGATCGTACTCCTTGAGAGGTAGCTACAGTGAGGGAAAAAAGTATTTGATCCCCTGCTGATTTTGTACGTTTCCCCACTGACAAAGAAATGATCAGTCTATAATTTTAATGGTAGGTTTATTTGAACAGTGAGAGACAGAATAACAACAAAAAAATCCAGAAAAACGCATGTCAAAAATGTTATAAATTGGTTTGCATTTTAATGAGGGAAATAAGTATTTGACCCCTCTGCAAAACATGACTTAGTACTTGGCGGCAAAACCCTTGTTGGCAATCACAGAGGTCAGACGTTTCTTGTAGTTGGCCACCAGGTTTGCACACATCTCAGGAGGGATTTTGTCCCACTCCTCTTTGCAGATCTTCTCCAAGTCATTAAGGTTTCGAGGCTGACGTTTGGCAACTCGAACCTTCAGCTCCCTCCACAGATTTTCTATGGGATTAAGGTCTGGAGACTGGCTAGGCCACTCCAGGACCTTAATGTGCTTCTTCTTGAGCCACTCCTTTGTTGCCTTGGCCGTGTGTTTTGGGCCATTGTCATGCTGGAATACACATCCACGACCCATTTTTAATGCCCTGGCTGAGGGAAGGAGGTTCTCACCCAAGATTTGACGGTACATGGCCACGTCCATCGTCCCTTTGATGCGGTGAAGTTGTCCTGTCCCCTTAGCAGAAAATCACCCCCAAAGCATAATGTTTCCACCTCCATGTTTGACGGTGGTTATGGTGTTCTTGGGGTCATAGGCAGCATTCCTCCTCCTCCAAACACGGCGAGTTGAGTTGATGCCAAAGAGCTCCATTTTGGTCTCATCTGACCACAACACTTTCACCCAGTTGTCCTGTGAATCATTCATTCAGATGTTCATTGGCAAACTTCAGACGGGCATGTATATGTGCTTTCTTGAGCAGGGGGACCTTGCGGGCGCTGCAGGATTTCAGTCCTTCACGGCGTAGTGTGTTACCAATTGTTTTCTTGGTGACTATGGTCCCAGCTGCCTTGAGATCATTGACAAGATCCTCCCGTGTAGTTCTGGGCTGATTCCTCACCGTTCTCATGACCATTGCACCTCCACGAGGTGAGATCTTGCATGGAGCCCCAGGCCGAGGGAGATTGACAGTTCTTTTGTGTTTCTTCCATTTGTGAATAATCGCACCGACTGTTGTCACCTTCTCACCAAGCTGCTTGGCAATGGTCTTGTAGCCCATTCCAGCCTTGTGTAGGTCTACAACCTTGTCCCTGACATCCTTGGAGAGCTCTTTGGTCTTGGCCATGGTGGAGAGTTTGGAATCTGATTGATTGATTGCTTCTGTGGACAGGTGTCTTTTATACAGGTAACAAGCTGAGATTAGGAGCACTCCATTTAAGAGTGTGCTCCTAATCTCAGCTCGTTACCTGTATAAAAGACACCTGGGAGCCAGAAATATTTCTGATTGAGAGGGGGTCAAATACTTATTTCCCTCATTAAAATGCAAATCAATTTATAACATTATTGACATGCGTTTTTCTGGATTTTGTTGTTATTCTGTCTCTCACTGTTCAAATAAACCTACCATTAAAATTATAGACTGATAATTTCTTTGTCAGTGGGCAAACGTACAAAATCAGCAGGGGATCAAATACTTTTTTCCCTCACTGTAGCTACCATCCTGGAAAATGTGTCAAGTCTTCCACAGTCAACAGTTATGTAATAATACGCTGCTCGCAACAACGATTGTACGAGTTGACCTCTCTTATGGTCTTGTGAGAGGTTCTTCTTCTCGTGCGTTCCATGTTTTTGAATCCCAGGGAAGGGGGCGACCCCAACAGTCACGCACTGGTCACCCAGCCTCCATTACAGAAACAGGATATTCCTGGATAAGCGCGTTAAAAATGCATGGAACCAAATGATCAGAATTAAATCTTTGTCAACCGTGCACAGTCACTCACACCCTATGCCCATGAATTACAGGTGTGCGGGATGTTTTCCACCACCATATCCATTCCTCTAAGACGGGGGTGGGGAACCTTTTTCCTGGCTGAAGTTCAAATATCACTTTCAAATAATATTGGCAGGGTACACATTAACACACACCACGGTAACTTGCGGCACTAGAAAATACCCTTTCATTGGCACAAAGATTGGCAACACAGCATTGCTATGTCAAATAGATGCCCCTCTAGTACCCGATTAGATACCAGATGAATGAGTGACGGATGAATGTCGTATGACGGCCGTTTCAAAGTGCTAGGCCTCATGTGGTCATGGGCCGTGTGAAATTAACAGGCCTTAGTTTCGCAACCTCTGATTGTTCTATGAGATACACAGAAACCTCTGTACTGCCCTTTTTAGAGAAGCAGGATAATACAATATCGTATTTGGCTTAAAAACCATGAAGCACTTTCAGTTTATGTTTTCCTGGTAAATTACTCCAGCTCTGGAGGAGGAGTTAACGGATCACTCAAGAGTGTCATAGGTGATATTCACAATTAGCTGAGCCGGGCGGTGGCCACGATATGTCAGCACACAAAAGTGGTTTGCTGACCTGTATTTTGACCTTTTACGCTTTGCACGCATGTCCCATTGTCTCCGGGTACTGGGATCTGCCTCCCTCAATTAAAACAACTCAAGAAATGTCGCCAAACATCCCAATGCAGGACCTGCCTGAAAATTGAGTCTCGAGACTCGGCGAGGCTTTCCTGGCTGAACGGACCTAACTGTCTGATAGCTCATGTAGAACAGTGCCACACGCAGCGTTTCCCATGGCTTATTTTACCACACTTAATAATTAATCGCAATGATCAACACAAATCGTGAAGCAAAGTGATTGCTCCAGATATGTTCCCCTGCAGCTGAGCTCATACGAATGAGGATGACATTGGAGAGCGGTGTAATTATTTCCAGGAACTTGAGGAGTTAAGTGCCGGTCGTTGGTGTAACACAACGCCCCACGGGTAAAGGTGTCTCCATCAGAATTTAATTTCAATTTGATTATAAGCACCGCAACTGAAGGGACATTCCTCCTCCGTAGCTATGACACTGCAAAGGCGCCAGGTGATGCGGAGATGCTGGACCATTGCGGAAAGCTGAGGTGAATGCGCATGAGGAAGAGCCGCTATGAAGACGAAGGGGAAAGGTGCATCTCTGAAATCGATTGCCCATGCGGGTGGATATAAAAATTAGTCTTGAAAATTACACGCAAATATTGTACCGTACATTTGTCAATCTACTGCCAGATGACGGCCTCCCCAGTCCTTATCAGTGAATCTGTGATTTTGTTTTAACCATTTCCAACTTTATTTTTCCAATAAAAATCTTCTGCCGTAGCTGTGAAAACTATTGTTACAAGTGGAGTCATTTTTCCGTACTCGCTCTTGGAAACCCGATTTACGATCGCTTCAAATGCCTCGGGAGGCTGCTGTGGACCGGCCTCGCATCAAAACTGCGAGTTGTGCCGTGATCTGTTTAAACTTTCCCCATGCCTTCATGGCCATTGGTGAGGCACGGCTTCGAGACTGATGGCTTTCTCTGTCGACGGCGCTGTGCACAGAGCGGCACTCACACTCCCAGCACATCAGAGCTCAAGTGAAGATTTGTCTCTGCTCAAACGAGAAACGGGGAAGGCACTCATCTCCTTTGGTGAGAGTGCCGAGCCAGTGGTGGAAATTCCACGTTCCCAGAGGCTGATCCTTCCACAACCAATATTGACTTCTCACAGGGTGGTACATATTTTTGTCTACCCAACTTGGAAAAGTGCATGCACATTAAATTTGGTTTTTCATTTAATTTGGTTACATTCTAGCTCTGAGAATCTAAAATTGTTGGTTCGACTGCTGTTACGATGAATGTATTTCTGGAACAGGGTATAAGTGAATGTGTGCCCCCAATGTGCAAATAGCAAAAGATCACCTCATTTGATCTCATAAGTACCCCGATGGCTCTTTCCGCCAGCCATTCTCAAACGCGCAGGGTGATGCACTGTGCCCTGTGACAATTCCGAACGGATAGTTCGTCCTGTGACAGTACGCCGATAGGGTGAATGTAATAAATTCGAGACAAGCAAAAATATGCCCACCGAAAAATATGAAGACACACAGCAAGCAGCCAGGCAACACGGTTACAAATCTTCTTCCACAGCCGTCTTAACGTCTGCCTGCACGTCATTTCAGGGGCCCCCACTTGACCACACCCCCCCCCCCCCCCCCCAATATGCTTTCACGGATGACTGCCTCCCAGGTGTGTTCATTACAGGTAATCGAATACCACATGTAAACGTACTCCAGCAAAAACAAAGGCGTGCTCATCACTTGGTAGGCTTCGCCATGCATTTAGAAACTGTTAATTCAGGACAGGTCACTTGCTGTCTAGTGGGTGGTCTGGTAGTAACACTTGTGGCTCTGGTAAGAGTTGACTTTATTGCAACTCCCGATTGCCTTAAATCTAATGAGCGATTCCCCAAAACACCATGCGACGCGTTGTTCCATTGATACCGTGATGGTCTTTATTAAGTGGCTGAAAATGCATTGCGCGGGAAAGCGAGGACAGCAGTCATGTGCACAAAACAAGGCTGAGTGTGATATACAAATTACAACTTACAAACACACACCCAAAATATGTACAGCCCATTATGAAATGCACAAGAGTAAAAAGGCAAACTAGCCCGATATTATGTTACGTATCGTAGCATTTTCAATTCAATGTATTAGTGGCGTGCCAGTGAACTCTCAAATTGGCTACAGACATGCTTCACCACCACAGCTATTCACCCCACAGCAATTCCACTGTCATTCAGCGTCACAATGCGATTCAATTAACAATTCTCTTTGTCTCGTTTTGGCAATCTCATTTGTATCTCTTTGCACAATCCGACTCATTTTCATGAGGCTTAGCATCACATTAACACAATTCTAATCAGTGGTTCTCATGCATATGATTGTGTGCATTTATCTTGAGCGTAAGAAATGATCTAACTTTAATCCGTGACTTAATGAACCACCGATTCTTCATTATATGCAGAGTCTTTACCAACATTCCGTGGTTGGTCTTCACAGTAGATTGCCACTTTAGCCACCCCCACAGACATTACCGGCGTCTGCGACGGACTCAAACCGTCGACTCCGTGGAAGCCGACTCTGCGGCGGTGGCACGCCGCACGCGGCCAGGAGGCTACGCGTCTGCTCCCGCGGCCGTCCTCACGACCGTCCGCACGTCGATTCAGGGACCGCTCCTGACCACGCCCCACGACAGGCAGACGCCCCCCCCCCCCCACCGCCAGCTGCATCACGATGTGGGCGAGATCCGAGGTGGTCGCTTCTCCAGGTGGCCTCCGTTCACCCTCCACGTCCACGCCAGCCCCGGTGCGTCGCCCGCCGCCACGTAGCGCAGCGCGACGCTGGGCTCCCTCAGCTGGAACTGCTGCGCTACCTCCGTGCCGTCGGGCCACACCAGTGTGAACGTGGGCAGGGCCACCTGCCAGGAAGCCATAGCACAGGGATCATAATCGCACTGAGTCATGGGAAATGGGAATGACTACTGCTTTGAAATCAGGGGTGGGGGAACCTTTCCCTTACAAAGGGGCCAAACAGGACTTTCAAATACACGTCAGGCCAAACATGAACACAACTTTTGTGACTGCAAAAGCCCCTTGCAGTGGGTGACAGAAATGACTGAGTGTGCTAAAATCAGACACACAGTGTTGCTACTTCAAAAATATTCCTCTCGATTTGGTTGTGGGCTGGGGCAAAGTCGTAGGCCTCGTGTGGTGGCGGACCATGGTGCCCCAACCGTCGTGCTACATTTACCAAGCACACGCTTCAAATCAGAATAAAAAAAAAATAGCAAATGTCTTTCTGAAATCCAATTACCTACGCCTAATTGAAAAATCAGTAAAAAAACCAGATACAATTTGAATGTATAAAGCGTATAAACATAATCTGCGCAAGCCGGCTTATGCTACAGGGAATTGATTGTTTAGCAATGATTTATGTTCTAATATTTTAGATTTCTCATGTGAAATTTAATTTTGGTTTCTGTTTGCTTCATGGCTATACTTTACTTTATATATTTTTTTGCTTTTGTAATTTCGTTGACCCAGGTCAATCTTGCAAAGTCGACTATCCCGGTCTCTTGATTTCTCGCCTGGTTTAACAAATTAACCTCGAACATGTCTAAATATAACTGTATCTCAAAATAGGTAAAATTTAAGACATGCTTGTTATGAGGCCGTGCGGGAAGATGAAGATTTTGTTTTTGGCAAGGTCAAGGAGGAAGCTGTGACAGCAGGGTGCTGGTAGAGCGAGACGCTTGGATTGATGGAAATAATTCCAGCCGGGCAATAATATAATTTACTTATCCACAAAATCTAACCAAGTCTCAAGACTCATTTTCATTAACATGTTCAGCCAATGCCATTTTAATGAGGGTTTTGGTTTAGTGTTGCATAGGGGTACTAGACGGCTTCTGCTTTATGAAAATGTTAAACTTTTAAAAGAGTTTAAATGTTACTAAATAAAAAAATAACAAAATCACGGATGAGTACTGCATTTAAGCAGTTACTGTTGGGGTGTTGTTGCCTTCCGAGAATTAAAACAACGGAGTGAAAGAAAGCAAAAGGGACAACACACGGAGAGAAAGGAGGCAGGAGATTCCGGGCTACACGGAGCCACACGCCAGCAGCAAACAAGCAGCCACCTCCTGTGCGGGTGCGTGCACTTCCTGTGCGCGTGCGTGCACCTCCTGTGCGGGTGCGTGCACCTCCTGTGCGGGTGCGTGCACCTCCTGTGCGGGTGCATGCACTGCAAGCCATGTGCTCTAGGCGTCGCTGGAGGCAGCACGCTTTTGTACAGAGTTTGAAGCAAAATCAAAAAGTTTTAGCATTTGTCAACATTCGAAAACAACACCCATAGTGTGGGATGATACCGGAGCGCATAAAACAAAAATCCCTACCGGCTATGTGAGGGGATATCACTCAACAGATCTGCACAGATGGGTTCACAGACCTACTCGCAGGAATGTCATCTCCTGTCCACCTCGCAGCCCAACAGGTTTTGGCATTTTACGAAATTTTTATTTGATCCAAAAACCCTTGCCTTCAAAGCTCTGGATTACAGTAGCATAGCACTAGGCAGCCACATATACAATCAAATCAAATCAGCAGTGGCTACAATACACAAACTGAATGTACGTGGTATAATGACTTTATTATCTAGGTTCATACAGCATTGTATGTTTGTTTGTTGAACTTGTATTTCACCGTAATGACAATTATTAGTGAAATGTTTCCACTGGCACATGATGTGGTTCATTTCTTTATAACGTAAAGAAGAGTGCATGGAGGGTCGGTCGACCGTCACAGCAGTGCTTTATCCTTAAATTATTACAACAAAGCACAGGTCAGATACTCTGCCCAGCTTAGAATGGTTTTTTTCATTTCTCGGACAGGATTGAAAATTGTGTCACTCGGCACGGATTCATGATACTTCCGATAAAAAATATTCACACTCCGCTGGCTTTCGCACGTGCACTTACTCTCGTCACCAGAGAGAGGAACGGAACATGACACTATTCCTCATACGCAATTTAATCTGGATCAGCTTGCCAGAGCCTTGAGGCCTTGAGGCTCTGGCAAGCATTGCAAGTAAAAAAAGGCGAGCACTTACGCGCTCCTTGATGCCAATGGCCACCTCCTCCACCGTCACCCCGACCCGCTCCAACAGGGTGAACGCGTGTTCCCCTGCCAGACCGAGCACGTTCACTCGCACCGCTGCAACAAAGACAACGATCCTCCGTATAGCCTTAATAGACTGTTGAGGCAAGTGCTGTTAGCGAGCATCTATGAAGGTCGACACGGCAGATGAGGGGGTAGGTGACCAGCACCCCCACCACACACCACACACGCACGTGCGCGCAAAGGTCTCGCTTACAGCCACACAGACTGCGGAGGTACGTTGCTGTTAGTTAGCAGCTATGAAGGCTGGCATGGCGCGCGCAAGAGGATGGATAGTGTGGTCAACACCTCGCCCAGTCATCTCTGTTCTCCTAGTGCTGATGTTTTATACACACCACACAAGGTACTAATTTAGGACTGAGTCCCCAAGGGCAGGCCCAGGACTGTTTCTGATATTCGTCACCGATGTAAGCCATGACTGGGAATCAAACTCAAGTCACCGGGTTCAAAACAATGCGCTAACTACTCACATGCACAATGTTTACAAATGTTTACAAAAATACCTAATCAGGGAAAAACAATAATCTAGGGATATATTCACGTGTTAGCAGAAGCAGACCTGCTCTTGAGGAGAAAAACTACAAAACTGGCGCAAAATGGGAGACATTTGTGAGAATGGCCCAAAATAGCCAAAGACGGTCGACACTGAGAGAGCAGCAAACAGCAACAGCAGATATACGTAATGAACAACCGCAGCAGCACGTTCCCAGATCTCAGTCCCTTCGTTGACCAGCAGCTGTTCCACCTGGGGAGGGCATTGCGATCGCAGTGGGGAGAAGCTCCTGCTCGTGAGCGTGCGGGTGTTACCGAGTGTGCAAGGCAAACTGCCGCACGTCTCTACGCGCACGAGAGTTAGTACTAATTTTTTTTAAAATTTTACCAGATAAGGCCCACTGAGCTGTATAGCTCTTTTTCAGAAGCGGCCTGACCACAAACGATAGCTCAAGAAAGTAGCTTATCACGTAGCCATTTGTAGCAGGGGAATACGCTAAACGCATTTTTATCCTAAATGTGGAGGGAAATACCGGAGGACCCGAATAAGAATCCACACGACAACAGGGAGAACATGCAAAGTCCAAATATACAGGCGTTAGGGTCGGGATCGAACCCACAACCTCCTGTAAACCAGGCGAGGGAGTTAACATCTCGCCACCATGTCGACTCATTCGTGGAAAACAAACGCACGGAGCCGAAACCGTATGGCGGAGCGGGGGGCGACGGGGCACAGGCTTACGCAAGAGAAATGGCAGGAACACAGAGCAAAGCGATTCTATTCGAAAGTACAGAGCTTCAGCTTCAAGGGGAGAGCCAAATAATGAAACGCACAGAAAATATAGTACGTAGTTGTTAACCTTCAAGGTGGACGGTGCTTGGGAGTTGAGGAGACTCAGGCAGGCTGTGGATGCTCTTAGTGGGACAAAAAAGAAAGCAACGCATTAACCTCAATGGCCGCACCATACTAACATGCTATAATAATCTTGACTTAAAGCTTATTATTTTTATTATTTTTCTATCTACGTGGCTTTACCGAAAGACCCAAAGAATATGATACAATAATATTAATAATCAACATGATCGGACGTGGATGGCAAACTGACCGATCATCAGAAACATTTGCCAAATACCAAGTTTGGCAATCGTGCTTTCTGCGTCGCTTGTCCTGAGGGCAAGAAGCGGCCTACCCGCTCAATTCATTGCCTCATAATAAAAACATAGAATTGTTGCGGAAATCAAATTTGAAGACCTAAAGCTAGACGGTGGTGGTGGTGGATGGTGATAAACTTGTAGGAGCGGAACTTGGGGGCAAAGTATTGACTTTGCAAAATCTGAGCAATCTTGCACCAAACAGTGAAATCTCGCCCCACGACTGCCGCCTCTGCCTGCCAGTGCTCACCTCCGCGTCGTCCTCAAATGGCATGAACTCGGGCTCGGCGATGAGCGAATTAAGGAGGGCGTCGTGCAGCGCCGTCGGGTTCGGCACCGACAGCTGCTTCACGAGCTCTGCACGTCGGGGTTGGGACGGGCGGAGGGTGGTGGGAACAGCCGCATGCATCGGCAACAACATGACGCTTCGAATAGAATTTCAATTTGCGTATGTTAGTGACGGGTTCTCGTAACTGCCCAACAGCTACTGGAGGTGCCGAATACGTCCTGTAAAAAAATAATATATCCATTCCTGAATTGAACAGTGACCCCTGATCTCATGACAATCAGATCTCAAGGCGAGGCGAATCGTGGAAGGCCGAGTAGAATCAGCGGACTCGCCACACTGGTCAGACGTAGGGTGCTGGAATTGGTAGCACTGTTCCAAATTTCCTGGTTATTCATGCCCTAGCTGCAGAATGTCTGGTCAGGTGATGAACATTTTCAACTAATTTTTTCCTGCAACCGACTATTACTTAGGCCACTAGCAGACATGCGCTAAGGTGTGATTTATCAGCCTATTTACACTTGTGTAATGCACATTCCCCGCAGTTTAGAGTAATATACACTCGTAACCCTACATTACCGAGGTTATCACCAAAGGTGTAATGAAGCGTAGATTCCCGATTAAAATCAACTGTTACATTCTTGATATACACACACTGTTATCATGTGTAGGAGATTGAATATATTTTCGATTCAAATTCCGTAATTCGTTTGCACGACCCCTCCTCCCTCTAGAGGCCACTACATTCACCAAAAGAAAACAAATGTTCTCGAATCGAATTGCGACCACCGAATCGGGGCAAGCAATCGGATCGCGAGGGGACAAATCGCCACGATTTTACGTGTCACACGACGCGGAGGCCTCGGTGCCGTGTGCGCGCGAGGTGTAACACGTGGAGCTGGATTGTCTCTCGAGTCCTCCTGTCGAGTTTCACGTTACGGCCGCGCTGGGGCTGCCGAGAGGCGTGCATGTCGACGCTCATGTCAACAATGTGCTGACCGGCTCTTCCCTTTGTACGTTCATTTTTTCCCCATTATGATTTTCTGATGTGTCAACGGAAATGTAGAGGCACTCCGCTGTACTTGCCATTAACACAAAGATACCGCGAGCGCGAGTTAAAAAAAAAACAAACTCAGCGTGAGTAATTCAAGACGGAGATAATTTTCATACAATTCTACACTTCCAAGCTTACTCATTGGCATCAGCTCATGAGAAGAAGACATTTCCAGGTGGCAATATATCACACCGTGTACAACAATGGTCTCCGGAAGGTGATATCATAGAACTACTTCTCAGATCCCTTCAAGCAATCTCTTATCCACACTAAGAGTGCTGCATTTCCTCACATGTTCTGCTACAGAGAAATGCAAATTGCACGACAGTAAAAACCAATGTTTAGTCCTCAGAGCTGGAATATGGCAAATTAACTCAAAAGAGACACCTTTAATATGATGACAGTTATTTTGTGCAGTCATCGGTGATCGGGCCAAGACCATCAACACTTGAGAATCCAGGGAGAAGCATGCTTTTAGCGTTGCATATAAACGTTACAGCCCTCTGGAGGGAGGGTTGGTGGATCATGCAGAGATCATGATGTGCTGTGGTACTCCCAACCTGCTGGGTGACATTTTGTCCAGGAAAAGAGAGTACAGCACGGGGGTACACGACGCATCTCTGCCAGACACTCTGGGCAGCGTCATCCCCTCTCCAAGGGTTACATTTTTTTAGGTTTCCTTCCACGTGAAGCCAAACTGCTCATTAATGGAAGTGGACAAATACCCCAATGCAGGACCCTCCTGAAAAGAGTCTTGAGACTCCGTGATTATCTCCTGAACAAATAAAGGACATGCTCATCAAGGGGCCCAGCGAAGTAGGGAATTTGCAGCCGCGGCAGGGCATGGAAGCAAGAAAACTTTAGGCCTTTCAAAGAGACAATCTATGTTAACGTAAATAATATATATCATAAATTACCTCTCTGCATATCGTCCAAATCCGCCTGAGGGTCGGAGTGCCTGGCCGGCATTCTCCTCAGCGGAAATCGGAGAGGCTCCTCCCTGAGCTCCGCTCCTCCCTCGAGCGTCTCTCTTGCTGCGGGCGTCACCGCTGCTGCCACGGACGAGCTCGTGGCACCGACTGTCACCACCTTTCCCTGCTGCGCCGGTGCGGAGCGGCCCGAGAAGTGGCACGCTAGCTCGACGGGGGACTTCCTGCTCGGCAGCTTCTTGCTATTCTGGCCAGGCAAGGGACCCAGCGAAGTGGATCCAAGAATCGAGTTTTCCAACGCGTCGACGGAGATCAACGTTCGTGTTTGGTGCCTAGTGGCCCCGGCGCGGCTGGCTTTTTCTGCAAGCTGACCGGTCTCTTGTCCGTCAACGGGGCCTCCAGCCACACTGGCGTCCGTTGCTGGCTGCGGGTGCATCACGCCCTCCGGCCTAGGTGAACCCGCATCGCCCTTACCCTCCGCCTGCAACGACTGCCTCTCCTTTGCCGCCACCGCTGCCGCCAAACAATGCTCGGACACTGTATCTGGGCCCTGCGAGCTGCCCTGCTGGTCGCACTGTCGAGGCTGTAAAGACGGTAGAGTCACTTGCTCCTGCATTGCAAAGGTCTGCTTGACATCAGCCAGGGAACTCGCTTGTGCCGATGCAGAGTTGTGCGTCGCTGGCGGCCTAGACTGTGGCGGTTGCAATAACGACGCAGGGTTTGCCTTTGGAACCTCAGGCTGCCACCGCGGCTGCGATTGTGGCAGTGGCTGTGGTGGTGACGGCGCTGGTTCGTTTAACAGAGGCGCCGTGCTAGAAGAAGTGCGGAGCGAACGCTGACCAAGGCTGCCGAGTTGCGTGCTGCCCGCGTTACCGGACGCTCGCCGGTTGATCAGGCTCACGAGGCGTCCTGTGAGGCTGCCGCTCACCAAGATGCTGCTGCTGGTGCACTCCTGGAAGGAGAACGCTGTGTCCAAGCCTCCCACTGCACACGGACACAAGCGCATGCACGAACACACACGCACACATGCAGCAACGACAAGAGCACCACAGGCTGGGCTTGGCACTGCACTTGGACGCGACGCGCCGGAGGGGCTCACGTTCGTCGAGGGCGCTACGGGCCTGGCTCAGCAGCAGCGAGGCCGTGGGTCGGGCGGCCGCGTCCTTCTGCAGGCCGCTCCGCAGGACGTCGAGCACGCACGACGTGCACCACTCGGGGGCCTCGCTCACGGGAGCCTCCTGCTGCACAATCTGCATGCACCAGCCACAACAGCAGAGCTTGACGACCAACAGTCATTAACCAAGGAGGAGACATAGGGTGACATCCCCCTCCTCTCTTTTGCGCGTGGCTGAATGGTGAGCAACTTATTGGAAGATGTTCAGATTAGTTAAAAAGAGAAATGGCTTCAAATGAGAGACTGGTGGGCTGGTTCAATGCCTACGTTTAATTTTTCAGAATTTCACAGCGGTTCTTCAATATGGTGGGTTCGTTGGCTTTGCTCGGTGATTCTGCACCCGTACGCCGGGCGTTCTTGAATCTCCGCTCGTGAAGGTCACGGGTGGAATCTTGCCACGAGACGCGCGTAGTCACCCTTAACGTGCACCATTGTTTTCGAGGCAGATTAGATCATGGAGATTATTTCGTGACATTGGCATTCATGTTGGGATATTGATGACAAATACGCAAAGGACAGAGAACAAAAGACTCTGTCCTGATGAAGTCGGGGAGTTGAGGCTTTGTGAATGGTGGTGCGTGGACACCACATACATACAATACATACAATTCTCCCACATCGACATTTGATAAATTGTCACCTTTTGCGGTTATAGTTCATTTTGTCTTGTTTTTATGGCCTTATTTTTTTCTGACTGTTTTGCACAGCATTGTTCACCCTATCAATATAAACGTTCCATCATGCACGTGAGAATCGACGCGTCGTTTGCATCAAGTCCATTGCCCGTATGTTTCGTATGCGGCGACAGCACATGCGTGCGCCACTCACCACGAAGTAGAGCACCTTCACGCCAGCGAAGCGCCCCATCCACGGGTGGCGCCCGTTCAGCATGTGCAACAGCACGCAGCATGCGCTCCACACGTCCGCCTTGCAGTCGTGGCCGGCACTCGCTGCCACCTCCGGGGCCATGTGCGTCTGCGTGCCGCGCGGCTGCTGGTCTGGGTGGTGCACAGCAACGTCGGTTTGGAATTACTACGTAAATTTCCTACAATAACTGGAAACGCAGCCGTCTTCGTTTAACAAGCCTGACTTTGTTGATGAGACCGAGAAGGTTGAAACCGGTCCAGAGTTTGCTTGCTTAAACATGCTACTGGGTAATATTGGTCTGAATAACCAATAGGCCGATATAATAAAACACATTTATTTATCCATAATAGATTTGTATGCGGGGACACAATGAAATTCTACTTAAGATATGCTTTGACCTACAATGCTCCACAGCAACGCATAATGAGTTTGTATCCTGCTCTCCGTCACACAGTGCCCACGGACCAATGGGGCAGCGAGGTGATATCGGTGGCCAGGGGCTCGGCGTCGAGAACGTTCCCTCCTGGGGCATCCGCCCAGCTTCCCACACCCATCCTCTGCAAAATCTGCTGGGATGCTTACATGAGCTAAAGGGCAGCTTCACTGATCTCCATTGATTTCCCATGGCCTCATTATAGCAAGGCTGCTTGTGATGCAGAGACCTGCACGTGGCATCAGATGCAATTCAAAGAGGAGCTTCTGAGGGGTTTCCAGATGGCAAGGAACAGGCTATTACTGACGCAAGGTGGAAGCACGCCACTAATCACCTCTCAATGCCCGCCCAACGCTGCGTTCAATCTGAAGCCAAGAAGAATTTCCTTCGATGCTGGTTAATCAACGAATGCGGTCATGGAATGACCTTTCACAATTGTTCGTGGATTTTCTTTACCGGTGTAGATTCATGGCGTTACGAAAGTGTCATTATTGTGGGACTAAGAGACTTCATTCCAGAAATGTTGCGGTGACCGGTGGAGCGTCAGACCACGGCACGGTCGCTTCGTCCCCAACAGTGCCGCGGCACTGCCCCAATGTAGTCTTTAATATTTAGTAAAGCGACTCGAGATGTGATTGCATTTCGATGCAATATAACGTGAAATCAATTAAAACCGTAAGTTGCCGAAGATAATTCTACAAGCCATATTTTTTCTTTGAGTTAGGCCATGCCAAAAGCTAAATCGAAAGATGATGTCACTAAACTAATATTTGAAGTATCTTAACCTAACTAGAGGTTGTAAAGTCCGATTTCAATCCACTGCTGGATGAAGGCCTTAACCCTGGCTGTAATTTAAGATGAATTTGCTTGTGCATTGATAGGATTGAGACCATCGACTCTTTACATCAATAACCCTATTTTAATCACCGATGGCCTGGACCTTGTTGTGAACCCAGATACTCAGCAGTGCCAGTTCAATAAGTATTATAAGCCTCGTGTATCACCAGCAACCTCGAAATGTATCACTCTCACCAAAATGATCTCAAGCAACAGCGCAATATCGTTACACGTGCAGGACACAGAGTGGTTATGGACTGACATGTGCATTATTCTTGCTGAAAACACCACCCTTACCTCTGAGCATCACAGTTGCTACTGCTCACCGTGCTAATTGCTGCTGTTACTATGAGACAAAAGTGAAGGCTTAATAACACTGCTTCATCCCATGCAAAGCTCGCTAATGATGAGGAAATCCATGCGAATTAGCAAGGTGATATTGGTGGCTTATTTGCACATTTTATTTCACTGTGTGATCATTAGGTTGTCTCGCTGCGCACCCCTTCACCACCCTTGGGCACGAGAGAGTCCGGATCTAACCCCTATGAAAGGGCCGCAATTTTATTCGAGAATCAATTGTATTTTTAACATTGCCTTCACTGGATTGTTTCCATTCCGTTCGTACCATCTTGTTTGTGTTGCCTCTTGTGCTTCTGCCTCGTTTGTAAAGTTACGTTCACTCTGTCGGCCCAAATATAGCAAAACGTAGGATTTGCATGCACTTTACATGAATCAAAATTTAATTATTACACCGAAGAATGGATGCACTGTCACAGCCCTAGTGGGCACGCTGTTGGGCAGTGGCTAGGGTTGACGGGGGGAGCTCCGTTACCTTTGGGGAGAACCTTGGAACCCGGGGGCAGCAGCTGAGAGAAGCCAAAATCACAGAGCCAGACTTGGTTCCCATCGGCTGACATCAGGATGTTATCGGCTGCAAATCCAGATAGACACTCTCAGGATTAACCAACACAGGGAAACACCTCGCCACCATGCGTTTGATACGGACATCATCAGGGATTCACTTCAGCCGGGGCTGTCCGGGTCAGCGAACCAGATGATATTCTCGCGATAATTGTCACGATTTGGGGGTCACAATTCAAATCAGGGCATTATTTTTAGTAAAAACATTGTGGTGAATGTTGCGCCACTTGTACCTGCAGGTATGACGTGAACCAATTATGACATACAAATGAAAAACAATCAATTCTTACACGTGTGCTTCACTACGATGTGTTGTGAGCGGAAGAATCCCGCTGGGGAAGAGGGTGAAAGATGGGAACACTTGGGCAGTGGACTGCTCCCAGTGAGGTGACCAGACTCAAAAAATGCAGAGCACATAGACGAAGGAAAAAGATACCCTTTCCACCACGTCAGCCAAGGCACTGTCTCTCACAGGCAGCCAACAGGCCTGGCTGTGCAATGTGCCTAGGAGGCCATGGGTTAAGCCCTGACATGACGGCGTAAATAAGCCCAATAGATGAACCAACTCAACACCGAGAACAGCACGCCATTTCTCAACTTTATAGTTGGTCCACAGGGACAGCAGTTGAGCACCTGGCCCTCAGGCCCCTGTCTCAACCAGGAAGCCCATCATCCCTCACCAATGTCCAGTCGTTCATCCATACTAACGTTCAACCACCATACTTTATTATTCTTTCTTTTGCACTACTCAACACTGAAATTCCCTCCCATCATCTCTTTTCCCCAGTCCTTATAACCTTTCACAATAAAAACAAAATGCATCGACACCTCTACTACAACTTCAACGGTGCTGTTTTGCTGGTTGCTTGCCGTTTTGGGCCTTTGGGTCCATGCTCAGCTAACTCTGATAAATAAAAAGAAAAATCAATCACCTGAGTGCCCGGCTCAATTGTAAAGCTGCGTTTACCCCGGCAGCAAAAACCCAAGCCAGACGCTGAACCTGTGGTGCGGTGGTGCCTGCTATATGCGTCAACAGTGCAGAGGGATCGTTGCCACCACAATAGCGGCGGCCGCACCTTTGACATCGCCGTGCAGGACGTTGTTCTGGTGCAGATACTCGAGTGCCTCCAGCACCTGGCAGGTGTAGTGCATCGCCAGGTCCTGGGGCAGCTGCTTGTTGTCGGAGATCATGACGTCGAGCGTGCCCCCTGCGTGGGAAACGGTGCCCGTGACACACGGCCACAGCCCAGCAGCAGCAGTATAGAGATATCACAGAACTACTTCCGAGATCAACTTCAAATGACGAACTGGGGGCAGTGGGTATGCACTCTTCCATGTGCCCCACTACAGAAACAAGTTCCACTGATGTATATTTTGTCTTTTTTGTTGAGTTAAAATCAATTACACAAGTAAACACGGTACAAGAACAATGAGTCCGACCAAATAATAATTGCATTAAAATGACTTCAACAGGAAAGCCTCGCCTTGCCTCACCACTCTTTTTTTCAGGAGGACCCTGTTTCATTTCCTCTTTGGGTATTTCTGAGTGTGACAGGAAACTGGTGGACCCGGAAAAAACCCGCACGTACCACAGACAAATCCACGCGGGAAGTTAAACAGCATTAAAATGCATATAGATTCTGCAAATAAAAAATGTACACCCTTTGCTAATGTCTCATTCTGGCAACCCTCGCGCAGTGCGAAAGTGTTTGCGTGAGTGTGCATGGATTAATGTGACCATGCATGTGTTTATGAGGGGTGGGGAGCGGTAGTGCAGCAGTTAGCGCACTGCGCTACAAACCAGGCGACCCAGGTTTGATTCCCGTTCACAGTCAACACCAGTGACGATTATCTTAACCGGTCCTGGGCTTCCTCTAGGTCTACTCAGCCTCAAATGAGCACCTGGTGCTGTGTGTAAACATCGCCACTCAGGAGATAAAAGGGGCCAAGTGTGGTGTTGGTCACCCACCCTCTCATGTGCCGTGTTGGCCTTCATAGTTGCTCGCTAACAGCAATTTCCCCAAAAAGTGTGTTCAGGCTATACAGGGGATCTTTGTATATGTATATGAGGGTGTGGGGAGGGGTAGTATAATGATTAGCGCACTGCTCTACGAACCCAGCTAACCGAGTTCGATTCCTGCTCACGACCAACACCAGTGACGAATATTTGAATCAGTCCTTGGCCTCACCTCGGTAAATTCAGCCTGTGTAAACATTAGACAAAGTCGGCTGGCCGGGTGTGGTGTTGGCCACTCACCCCCTTGTGTGCCAATACCGGCCTTCATAGGTGCTCGCTAACAGGACTTGTTACGACAGTCTATTAAAGACTATCGAGGGGGATCTTTGTCCATGTGTTCATGTACGTGTATGTATTGGTATGTGTCTATCCGTGTGAGGAGGAGGAGGAGAGTGAGGGTGGTGCTCCACTGACCCTCGGCGACCTGCATGAAGAGGGAGAGGCGCGGGCCCTCGCGCACGGCACCGTAGAGCTGCACGAGGCGCAGTGAGTCGAGCCGGCTCCAGATGCTCAACTCGTTCTCCGAGAACTTGTCCACGCTCAGCTGCCACCACGCCGCGTGAACAAAGATAATGAATTGCACACACGCACACATGCTTTCCGCTCAGCTGTACAGACTCCACCTGTGTGGAGCTCTTGTCGACGCGAAGACCACGATCCACAACATCGTCATCGACAACAACACACTGGGAGCAGTGGTGCACGCCTGTGATCGCACGTAGGAGGCAAAGGTCGGTGGTTCACGCAGAGATTTGGGGAAACGCCCAAACCCACTGTGCTGCTGTGGCCGGGAGGTGGCAGTACAGCGTGTGAGTTTGTGAAGCAATCTGTCTAGACCACCGAGTGTTACCTCCTTGTATGCACGGTGGGTTTTCTCCGGACACTCCTTTCCTTGCACACTATGCTAAGTACTGATTAATTTCACTGGCCATACATTCCAATGCAGGACCATCTTAAACACAAGGCTCAGTGAGGCTCAGTGAGGCTTTCTTCGTATCAATCCACTGCTGGATTGACAATCCACGCTATTCACATTGTTATTTGACCATACTTCACCATGCTGGTCAGTGCGAGTTGGTGAAGGGGGGACACAAATATATAGGAGCAAAGAAGTACACTACAACAGTGGATTTTACTGAACTTCTGCTACCCCACACACAACATAGCTCCGCTACCTAAAACACCTGTCATGGGTCGTGGTTGCCCAAACAAACACTATTCAGGCTCAACTTTGCTTGGCTTCTGAGATGTGACGAGATTGGCCGCAGTCCGGGTGATTTTGTCACTAGGGAAAATAAAGACCTTGCTAATTCATTTTAAAACTTTATTCGGGAATGAAATGCGCGCGAGCGTGTGACTTCATCGCAGGTTGTTGTCCAAGCCTCCTTCAACCCGGTCTCTATAGACCACAACAGCGAATGATGAGTGGGAGTATAAGATGACGACGAATGCCTTTACGATCATTATTCACGTGCGCCAGCCAGCGCCACCCAGCACCACGCCACTCCGCGCCACCCCACCTGTTTGACGGCAAAGTGGAAGCTCGTGCAGAGGTCTCGACCGACGAACACATTTCCGAAGCGGCCACGTCCGAGTTGCCGGGGCGTCTTCTCCCACTGCTGCCCCTCCCGGTAGCTGCCCCCAATGGGGCTCAGCTCCTGCGCGAATAAAAAAACAAGAACACAATCGGTCTCCCTGCCATCGTGATATTTTTCACAAAAACGCGACACCGCCAAAATTGAGCAAACAATGTGACGAAAACAAGGCTTTCCTCAAAATAGGGATGATACCCTAGGTGTGAGTATTCAGTGCGGTTCACGCAGACATTTGATGAGGAAGTAAGAGTCATATTTACGACACAGGCAAACAACGTGGGACAAAACCCCTGTCGTGGTGAGTTGAAGTGAGATAAGAATGCAAAGCCAGCTTCTCTTAGCAACTCCCAAATGCAAATCATGTATATTGCTTCTTTACACAAGAACATTCAATAAAATGCCACTTGGTCGTCGAAATACTCCTGAGGTTTGCAGAAAACAGAAAAATAATACAGGTTACTCTGCATTATCTGGAGGCGGATATCCAGTTGCATATAAAATGAGCTTGTGGATAAAGGAATACATGCATCCATGCTCACACCGCATTCATTATCAGCTGCTCTCTTCGCTCGTTGGAGGTCAAAGAACTTGGCGTCCACGTGACTGCAAACATGTCAGCAAGTAAACTGCCCACTTCAGGAAGCAATAAAAACAGACGACGCATTCTGTGTCTTCACCCGTTCTATGTGGGTAAACGATCAACTTGCCTTATAGTTGCATTCTTGTGGGCTAGATCGTGTAGGTACAATGTCAATTAGGGCTATACATCCAATAAAGCTAAATATATCAGGTCATTGAGTCATGGAAAAATGTGCCAAATTATTTTGTATTGATATAATCCAGTTAGGTTGAAAAGTGAGAAAAGTGTTGACACTTTCCTACGACGTTTCACTAGAGATTAAACCCAGCATCATCAGGGGTCAGCAACTACTCAGACCTCGAGTGAATGCCCTTCCTGAGCTGAAAACAGAATTAATTGGTATATTTGGCCACGTCACAACCTGATTTTTTGGCTTTTTCAGGTGAATAATGTCGTAACAGCCTGTGTGTGAAATTAAATTAGTTTCTATATCCTAATTTGTTTAGAATTATGTGTATTGTTTCATTCGGGGCACCCTTTGCCCCCATTACCCCGGATAATCAAGACTTGGGCATCTGCCCCCCGTGAACAGCTGGCCAGCTCGTTGGTGAGCCACAAACATCATCGTAACATCCTTGTGAAGGGGCGGGAATTTACTTTGTTGAGTAGGATGCCCTCACAGACCGAGTCGCTGACCGGGCCCAGGCTCTCCCAGTGAACCGTCAGCTCCCTCAGCTCACGCGACTCTCCAACACAAACCCGGGCCCTCACGGACACGGGAACGGCAGACAGACACACGGAGCGAACTGCTCGTAGGCTGCTGTGAGGGCGAACGACAGCCTTCGTATAATTGGAAGTGCGTCGCTCCAGTGGTCTGCTCGGGGCTCGATTGGTCCTACTTAGTGGCAGTGAGTCTGACTTGCGTAGTTTTAAACTGTCCGCCTTTGCAGTGCGACCATCGCTGTTCGGGATCACGCGAGATGATGGTGACGACGGTCGTGCACCCTGTGGGGCACACGCAGCCTCCGTGTTGAGTTCCGTATTTTCCGGTTGAATGACGTCGGGCAGTTGTACGCCCGAGTTGGAAAAGTCCTCGTTGATGTACATCAGCATGGCCTGGATGTTCTCTTGGTTCGCAAGGAGGCTGTCCTCAGAATTGGAGAACGTACTGCTGTTAAGTCCGAACATCAGCTGTTCCATGGGGCTTATCATCTCCACTGCCTCGCACAATGGTGGCAGAAAAATTGAGGCAATTCCCGACTGGGTTTGCGATGGTGCCGAGGACCGGGGACGCACATCGGAAGGGTGCGTGCGGCGCAGCTCTGGGTCGGTGCTGTGCTGCGCACCAGCGATTTCTGCCTCCACATGACCCGACTCTTCCTTCAAAGTGCTTTGTGCCATTGCACCTCGGATCAAACCAAACTGTAACCGTTCTCCCGCTCCTTGCGGACCTGTGGCCACGGCAGCATTACTGTTCGCCCTCTGCTCGGTATCCGTCGCGTCGTTAATCTCCGCGTCAGCGACCAAACCGAACTCTATGCTGACTCGAGGCCTGAAAGCGCCGTCGGACAGGAGCGGCGCTACCTGCTCTCGCACGAACTCCAGGTCGCGGGAAACTTCCCAGCCGGGCACCTCCGCCAGGCCGAGGGCAGCACGGCGCGCAAGGCGCTCGCTCAACCCCGCGCATGGCAGCACGGGGCATGGGGACCCGCGGGTGCAGCCCAGCGCGTGGCGCCGCATCAGCTGGCACAGCTCGTGGCATATGGTGCACTCGGTGGTCAGTCGGTGGCAGTTGTGGACGAGGTGCGAGAGAAGGCTGACGATGGTGGTGCAGGAGGTGCAGTCGCACGCGCGGCGCTCGGCGAGGTGAGAGAAGCTCTCGACGAGGAGTTCCTCCAGCCGTGCCTCCGTGACGGGACCCCCGGCCGGCACCCAGCACTACACGGCGATCAGAGATGGGGCATTATGTTTAAATAAAAGACATTGAAAACAGAGATCGCCACATTTAGTTACACCGTATTGGTTAATCAAATTAATAAATAATGATACTGCGTATTTTGATTATTGTTAAAAGGATGAAAAACTAGGTATTAAACGTTAAAAGCAAGAAAGGCGAAACCTGAATTTTACTTGGAAGGGAAACTGCTTCGGAACACCAGATGTTGGTGGTGGAATTTCCACATTTACATGACAGGAGTTAGTATATCCATAACATGAACACTGTTGACTTCCCATAACATCGGTATGACCAACTAATCCAGAATGCACCGGATTTCCTCAGATTTCCAGAACTAAGCAGAGATGAGCCTGGTTATAACTTGGATGAGAGACTTAGCTTTGCTGTGACAGCAGTGGATGTATTCGTTCTGTGAACAGCTTAGAGTGCTATCCCCTCCTGTGAATAGGTTTTCTCCAGGTATTCTGGTTGCCTCCCACATGAAGCCGAATGGCAATTAATGGAATTGGTGAAACAAGGACTCTCCTGAAGAGGCCTGAGACTAAGTGAGAGGTTTAAAAAAATCTAATTAAAGGCATTAAAAGTCCGTAACTGTAAATGAAAAACAACCAGCAGAAGAGCACTTTGTTTCTGTACACACAGAACAATGCACCTCACTATACACGCAGAGTACAGTGAGGGAAAAAAAGTATTTGATCCCCTGCTGATTTTGTACGTTTGCCCACTGACAAAGAAATGATCAGTCTATAATTTTAATGGTAGGTTTATTTGAAACAGTGAGAGACAGAATAACAACAAAAAAATCCAGAAAAACGCATGTCAAAAATGTTATAAATTGATTTGCATTTTAATGAGGGAAATAAGTATTTGACCCCTCTGCAAAACATGACTTAGTACTTGGTGGCAAAACCCTTGTTGGCAATCACAGAGGTCAGACGTTTCTTGTAGTTGGCCACCAGGTTTGCACACATCTCAGGAGGGATTTTGTCCCACTCCTCTTTACAGATCTTCTCCAAGTCATTAAGGTTTCGAGGCTGACGTTTGGCAACTCGAACTTTCAGCTCCCTCCACAGATTTTCTATGGGATTAAGGTCTGGAGACTGGCTAGGCCACTCCAGGACCTTAATGTGTTTATTCTTGAGCCACTCCTTTATTGCCTTGGCCGTGTGTTTTGGGTCATTGTCATGCTGGAACACCCATCCACGACCCATTTTCAATGCCCTGGCTGAGGGAAGGAGGTTCTCACCCAAGATTTGACGGTACATGGCCCCGGCCATCGTCCCTTTGATGCGGTGAAGTTGTCCTGTCCCCTTAGCAGAAAAACACCCCCAAAGCATAATGTTTCCACCTCCATGTTTGACGGTGGGGATGTTGTTCTTGGGGTCATAGGCAGCATTCCTCCTCCTCCAAACACGGCGAGTTGGGTTGATGCCAAAGAGCTCCATTTTGGTCTCATCTGACCACAACACTTTCACCCAGTTGTCCTCTGAATCATTCAGATGTTCATTGGCAAACTTCACACGGGCATGTATATGTGCTTTCTTGAGCAGGGGGACCTTGTGGGCACTGCAGGATTTCAGTCCTTCACGGCGTAGTGTGTTACCAATTGTTTTCTTGGTGACTATGGTCCCAGCTGCCTTGAGATCATTGACAAGATCCTCCCGTGTAGTTCTGGGCTGATTCCTCACCATTCTCATGATGATTGCAACTCCACGAGGTGAGATCTTGCATGGAGCCCCAGGGCGAGGGAGATTGACAGTTCTTTTGTGTTTCTTCCATTTGCGATAATCGCACCAACTGTTGTCACCTTCTCACCAAGCTGCTTGGCAATGGTCTTGTAGCCCATTCCAGCCTTGTGTAGGTCTACAATCTTGTCCCTGACATCCTTGGAAAGCTCTTTGGTCTTGGCCATGGTGGAGAGTTTGGAAGCTGATTGATTGATTGCTTCTGTGGACAGGTGTCTTTTATACAGGTAACAAGCTGAGATTAGGAGCACCCCCTTTAAGAGTGTGCTCCTAATCTCAGCTCGTTACCTGTATAAAAGACACCTGGGAGCCAGAAATCTTTCTGATTGAGAGGGGGTCAAATACTTATTTCCCTCATTAAAATGCAAATCAATTTATAACATTTTTTGATATGCGTTTTTCTGGATTTTCTTGTTGTTATTCTGTCTCTCACTGTTCAAATAAACCTACCATTAAAATTATAGACTGATCATTTCTTTGTCAGTGGGCAAACGTACGAAATCAGCAGGTGATCAAGTAATTTTTTCCCTCACTGTACATATCCATGACAAAAGACAATCTTCTCAGGCTGGGCAATGCTGTATGTCTGCATTTCTTACCGATGCGTTAGTAAACATCTTTGACGACCAGATAAGTTGTTCCAACACACATGAAGACACGAATGTCACGCGACTGCTTGCAGTGAATGATATTGAATTGCACACTGCAACAGCGTACGATGTGCAGACTTGTCAATGTCTCTAGGCTGTCAGCAAGAATCTGACAAGGCTAAGTTGATCTAGTCAAGGTCAGAGCATGTCGAGACACCCACTCTTTGCACGATTGTCGAACACCATCGTCAGGAGTTGAACTAAAATTATAAACCAGCATGGCTTCTAAAACACTGTGTGTGCATCAGCCATTGCACACACAGTGCAACAGTACAGTGAGATAGCACCCTAATGTGTACTTTTTCTCGAATAGACCGAATTTGCATGTTCGTTTGCATGTAAGCCCCGCGTTCCAAGATGTTGTATGCTCTTTATACTCGTATTCATTATTTCATTTGCTAGGCCCCTGTACAAAACACAGAACATTACACTTCCCCTATCTGCTTGAAACCACTGCAAAGCAACTTCCTTCTCCAACATCAACGACACTTGGAGGCCCTCCCCTCCTCGTCAACTCGTGCACATTACCCACCCCCATCAGAGGTGCTCGCTAACAGCTCTGGCCCTGTCAATCTGTAATTCGCACAGAGCTCCAGTTTTGTATTGTTACACAAACGGCACATGGTGTACAGAAAACAAATGCAGAAACAAAATTTCGCGACATTTGATTTCACTTGCCCAATGAAAGCGGCATATGCGAGTCGCAAGACTCACTTCCCAGGAGGGTCCTGCTTGGGGGGGATGTTTGGCCAATGACTCACGGAGTTTTGATTTAAAGCTTTCGTGACTGCAGTGATTCATATTCTTGGTTCTTTCGGTAAAGTCACGTTGAAGGGAAACAATAAAATAATGAAATATATAAAACAATAAAATTCTCACGTTTCGACTGTAACACAAACAGTCATCATCAGGTGTGAAAACCTGATGATGATGACTGTGTTCCGGTCCATACCGCGTAACAGCCGTTTCAATAGGGTGCAAAACAACCCATGTTTTTTTTTGTCTATTTGTATTTATCCCTTGTGATGGGACTTTGGAGGATGAACGTTGAGATTGATAAGGGCACGGGGTGACCCAATAAGGTCTGAATTGGTCTGTAATAAGTTAAGGACACTGATCAGGGGGGTTGTTGACGGGCGTGCCTACGGGTCACTTTGACCAAATCGCCTGGAATTCCTCGGGCGCCTAAGCAGGCGTGGAGGCTGCTGGGGTTGAACGCCGTGCACGGAGAGGGGACAGTGCAGACCAATTCCCAATGTTGTAATGCACTTCTATGCTCCCGTGTCTTTACCGCACAACTGCTTCCATCCACCCTCACCGGCGCAGAACACGGCAAAATAAAAAAACAAAAATAAACAAAAGCTCACTAAGCGAACTTACAACGCAGAAAGCGACCAAGCCCTCCCTCGTCGTCATCGCGACAGCCACGGTCAATCCACTGCTGGATGAAGGCTAACCACGCTCGAGTCTTTATATATGACCGTGAGAGGCAGGCGGTGTAGAGAGGGGGGACCTCACCAGGCTGGGCAGCGCCTCCCAGCAGCAGCAGGAGGAGGAGCAGCAGGAGCAGGAGGAGGCTGCAGGGACGTCCGGGCTCGTTACGTCCCAGGCGGGAGCCGCGCGGCTCGCCTGCATCATCCCCGCGACTCGAGCTCGGAACTCGTGGGTGGTGGTGGTGGGTGGTGGTTGTTGTGGGTGGTGGTGGTTGGGTGGTGGTTGGGGGTGGTTGGGTGGTGGTTGGGGGTGGTGGTGGTGGTTGGGGGTGGTTGGGGGTGGTTGTGGTTGTTGTGGTGGTTGGTCGTGGTGGGTGGTGGTGGTTGTTGTGGGTGGTGGTTGGGTGGTGGTTGGGTGGTGGTTGGGGGTGGTTGGGTGGTGGTTGGGGGTGGTTGGGTGGTGGTTGGGGGTGGTTGTGGTTGTTGTGGTGGTTGGTGGTGGTGGTTGTGGGTGATGGTGGTGGTTGGTGGTGGTTGTGGTGGTGGTTGTTGTGGGTGGTGGTGGTTGTGGTGGTTGGTGGTGGTTGTTGTGGGTGGTGGTGGTGGTTGTTGTGGGTGGTGGTGGTTGTGGTGGTGGTTGGGTGGTGGTTGGTTGTGGTGGTGGTTGGGTGTGGTGGTTGTGGAGGGGTCCTCAGGGTCGCAGACCGTGGCCGTGGAGCGCTCCTAGGGCACTCGGGAGCCGGGATTCCCCGCCGTTAGCTCATCGCCTCCAACATCTCCACCATCCTTCCCACCACTCCCTCGGGCCGCGCGGCTCACGTGTTGAACAAACTCCCCATCGTCATCAGCTGTCGTTTGTTATTGTTGTTGTTTGTTAGTTAGTTTTTGGCCGTTGACGATGGCCCCTCGGCCGACGTCGTCGATGCCGCGAGCGCCAACACCGCCGCTTCGCGTTGACGCGGTTGAGCCCGATGGACGGGCGGGCCGCTTCAGTTCATCTGTCTGACGACGTTCTTCGTGTTGCCGCTGACGATGATTTCAATGTCGATTCCTCCTCCTTTAGCACCCGAACGAGAGACGCCTTCAAATCCCCACAGCCGCCGCCACCGCCGCCACCATCATCCCCCCCCACCCCGGCCCCTGAAGTTAGTCGCGCGGTTGGATCGCGAGACGAAGCTCGCGAAGAAGGACTTGCGATGTGGAACGTCAAAACGTCCACCATCACCCCCTAACCCTGCACACCCCCACACACAAACACACCCGCCCGCTGCTGGGCTCCTCGTTTGCATCCACGGGTTCGCCCTCCTCGTCACGGCCACACGGGGCCGATTTCCCGTCACTTGCGTCAGCGTCAGCGGCGTCGGCGTCTCGAGATCTGTGCCGCAGCCGCTAGGGGGCACTCGATGACCCCTTGAGGCTCAGAGGCTCAAAATCTAAAGGCGAGCCCAAGCAGTTCCCGACAATCTTCACTTTAAAGCCTTTCGTGACTGCAGCAGGAATCCCATACTCTTTGGTTCTTTCGGTAAAGTCACGTAGGTAGAAAAATAATCAATGACGACGTTTCGATTGCAACACAAGCGATCGTCATCAGGTGGGACAACCACAGTTTTTTTTTTCTGTAAATGTGTCGTTTTTTTCTGTGGTTGTCCCACCTGATGACGATTGCTTGTGTTGCAATCGAAACGTCGTGAAATATTATTTTTCTACCTACGTGACTTTACCGAAAGAACCGACGAGTATAGTTCTGGACAATTCAGACAAGATTTAACACGTAGGCTTTCGCGACCAATATCATCCATAATAGAGGGGTTTTTTTTGTTTGTTAGATCGTGTAAATAATATATAAATGTTTCGTTGAAACCCGTCACCACCCGACACAGCCAACTAGTAAGGGTTGTCACGTAAATAGAACGTGGCCAATTGTCACTATACAGCACACCGGTGGAGTGTAGTGTATAATGTAGTGTATAGTAGTGTAATGTATAGTAGTGTAGTGTATAGTGTAGTGTATAGTGTAGTATACTAGTACAGCACAACGGTGTGTTGGAGAGCCAAGCTACAACATTTACAATCTGAGTACGTCGTTTCGCCAGTAATTACAACTAGCTTCATCGGGCGCATGTTCTGTTTACGTGACAACCCTTACAAGTTGGCTGTGTCGGGTGGTGACGGGTTTTAACGACACATTTATATATTTCCGCGATCTAACCCAAAAACCTCATGAATTTAGACAAGAGTCAACACAACAACAACAAAAACCCCAACACCCACGCGCGTCTATGAACAATGCCATTTTTGGCAAAATATTTTTTTTCCTGAATTCGATCCCCGACTCTGGCGACTTTCTGTGTGGAGTTGTGTATGTTCTCCCCCCGGTTCTACTTGGGTTTTTTTTTCCAGGTTCTCCGGTTTCCTCCCAATAGCAAAACATTCGCATTGCATACACAGTACAGGATATGTTGAATGTAACCGGTACTGGCTAAACATCCCAATGTTGAAACATTACCTGCAAATTACTCAATTGGCATGACAAAAATATCGCCCAATAGTGCAAAAAACTTGACAGAACCCTCCTGAACAAGAGTCTTGAGGCTTTCCCGGCTAAACAAACAAACAAACGTTGTGCGTTAAGTTAATCGCCATCAGCAGTCCTACGATGTCCGTGTACACAAAGGCTGACACATTGCACGCTGACCTAGTGCTTTTGCCACGTTTCTGCGTGTGCTGTTTGGAACACATGCGTTTACCAGCACAATTATTCTGTGATGATTGTGGTGAGTTTACCAGTCGTTTACATTTTTGAGTTAAAATTTAACGAATAACGATAAACACACATCATCATAACAGAATAATAGTACGGGCCGGAAAATCATTGGTTTCAAACAACACACGCGTGTGCGCATTATGGAACAGCCTTTGTGTGTGTATTTATGAGCATCATGGGACAGCTGATGGTGTTTGCATAACGCACACATACCGAGTGTGGAGTTTGCCATCAAGGGATCCCAACGTGTGGCTTTCTGTATTGCAGCCAGTAATGCTTTGGCATTGCAATGTCATTTTTTTCTGGACTAGTTGAATAACGCCCATAGCAACTGGCACCATTTGATGTTTTAAGCGATGATGATGGGTGGCTCTTGACCAAAACTGCCTCCAGGCAATAACTAGCACAGAGACATGTGCCTCGTTCAAAAAGAGAGAATGAATCTTGACTTAAAGCTTTCGTGACTGCAGGAATTCATATTCTTGGGTCTTTCGGTACAGCAACGTAGATATAACAAATAATAAAAATACCAATATCACGACGTTTCGATCGCAACACAAGCAATCAACATCAGGTGATCAAAACGTCGTGATATTATTATTTTTATTTTTAATTATCTGTATTATTTGTTCTATCTACGTGGATTTACTGAAAGACCCAAAGAATTTAAAAAGAGAGAATGGTTTAGCATTTTCAATTTAGCTAGGATAGCAGGCATTAATAATATGTTTATAATAGTACATGATAAGAAAAGTGGGCTTAGGCATGGTCGACACTTGCACATCACACCAATATCACGGGATTTATCTTTCAAGTCACCTCCATCATCGACCACCTGTGATTTTTCCAGCCTGTACTAGTATTGTTATGATGATGGGTGCTTCTCGTTATTTGTAAAATTTGAACTCAAATATGTAAACGACGAGTCAACGCACCCCAATCATCACACGATAGCCACCTGCACCTTCGTTCATTACACCATCAACACCGTAGCCCTCTGCCAGTAACCCCCGTGCATCGCTGTGCTGAAACTCAATACACGCGAGACGGTAAAAACGAGACTAAAATAGTTTGAAACCGATTCGCCAGAGGTGCGAATCGTTACAGGACAGTATGCGTAATGCACCTCCAACATATGAAGCCAAAGTGGTCACCTTTGGCGCTGCAATGTCAGAGTGTGGCCACGTGGGGCCGCGCGAACACCGTTCAACTCAGGATTCTGACCTCCAGCGTTGCTACACCAGGACTGTGGCCTTATAGGTGGAACGTTCAGCAGCGGACGTTTCCTCCAGCGTTTTAGAACAAATGTCTCGCGTTGATCAAAGACCGGGAGACACTCTCATCACCTAGAAGGCTGGCTATGAATTTTTATACGTGCGTAATGTTTTAGATTTTAAACGTGTTGCACCACCCTGAATTGTATCCCACACTCCCCGCGATTACACGTCGCAAATCTGGCAGTCTCATAGATGTCAGCAGCTAATTAAGGATAGCCCGCAGTGCGACTGCAATTCACCGATCGCAAAAATGTCCCACACACACACACACACCGTTGCGCCGCTTTGATAATTCCACCCGCAAACAATTCGGATATTCACCAGGCTACTCCTTAACAGCGTCCAACGGCTCACTCACAAATCTCGACATGAACCCCACCATACGGAGGAAGGAGAACAACACATGGGCAGGTTACGTCAGAAGGAAAACATCAGTGACAGTGCCGAGACGTATTGAGCTATTTACAAGCAAGGCAAATATTCGAGTCACATCTAAATTGCAGTGTGTCATAACTACATGAGACGGAGAGAGAGGGGCCGGCGAGCCGGTAAACATTCCCACACATTACTTTCTATATTTAAAACCTAATAAGATGTTTGTGATGGAAAATGTTTTTTGCACGACTTGATTGTGCGTCTTAGCCCGCGGGCACTCTCCAATGCGTGGCACTGTTGGCTCTTATTCTCGGTAAAACTGCGAACCGCGATCCACGTGAAGTTATACATCTGTGTTATGCATCCGCGTAGGTCACAGCGTGTACACGCTCGCTTGCATCTCTCTTCATCAAAGGCATCGTTATCTTTGCCAAGATTTGTGCGGTGCACGTCTTTAGTTAAAATGTTTTAATCATTTCTCATGTGTATATATATTTATTTTCTTAAGGGAGCATTACACTCTATGTACACTTATTGTATGGTGGGTTGTCGTAGTGTTTGTATATAACGATAACAATTTATAATTGCATTATTAATTAACATTCAAGTTGTCACGCGGCATGATCATGAGTGATGGTGGTGGTTTGGGGAGACCTGAATTCAGCCGTGGATTGACCATGGCTGATGATGCTGAATGAGTCTATTTAATTTGTAAACAAAATATGCATCATATATGTATGTTGAGCTTCTTTCGCACCGTACGTAGCCAACCGTGCTAATCTATTATATATGTAAGCATACATTCTATTGTATATGGGATATACAGCGTCTGGTGGGAAATTGCTTTTGAAGAGCACCTATTAAGGCCAACACATAGCGCGAGGAG